TCTTTTTTATGTTTTTTCCTCTTGTGTCGTTTATCATCTTTTCTAAAATTTCTCTCTTCCCTTTCAGAGTGTTTATTTTTCCACTGGTCATCTTCCAGTCTTTTCATTTTATCTTGGTAAAGTATTCTTTTCCTGCTATCATCCTCTTCGGTACTAATTGACGATTCGCTAATTCTATCGTTAACATCTTTATTTTTGTGTTCTTCGCCGCTGCTTTTCTCCGATTTGTCAACTTTCGATTGATATTTTTCTCGATGTTTATGCCGAACACCACTACTGGATCGTTGATGTCTATCGTTTGATACTTTTAAACTTTTATTATTTAAACATTCGGGTGATTTCAATTTATCCTTTTTCCCATCGTCGAGTAAATCAGGTATATTAGTGATGACGTCGCTACTACTTTCCTCATCCCTTTCCGTTCCTTCCATTATTCCTGGCAATTGTGGTCCGAAAACAACAACATTACCTTTCGTTCCGGGTTCGGAATGGATAGCTTTGAGAAAAGCAGCAGCTCTCCTTTTTCTATCTAATTGTAATTGTTTTTCTTTTGTTGCCATAGCTACTTTTTCTCTAGCTGCTGCAGTTAATTTATCTTTTAACCTTTCAGTAGCTAAAAAAAAAAAAGAAAAAATTTCCTTTTCATTATAATAAATCATCATTAAAAAATCATTATAAAAAAAAATGATCATCACCTTATTAAATTTTTTTTTAATAAATTTCAGCTGGGACCGTTTGGATTAGGAGTCATGCCAACAGCTGGATATGTCAAGAAGTAGGAAGCAGGTAATTATTAAGGAGTCTAATAATAACAGGCTGCAACAAACAAAAAAATTTTCAAGGAAAAAATAATTTTCGTCTTAAGGCAAAGGAAAAATTAAATTTAAAAAGAATCGACAAGGAAGGAAAAAGGATTTATAATTTCATTCATACTCAACTTACCTAAAATCTTTTTATTTTTTTCTTCTTTTTCCTCTTGTGCAGCCAAATCGATAGTGACTATGTCTTCTTTTATTTCTTTTTCTTTCGCTTCTAATAATTCTCTTTCTTTACATTCATTTTTCGCTTCTTCATCCGAACTTTCTTCAACGGGCAAAGCACTTTTTTCTATTACAGGCTCCGATTCTTTAGGTTTTTTTATAGAAAAAGAAACTGGCGTTAATTTAGATTTTGAGTCGTCCCGCACTTTTACCGTACAATTTTCCAATTTCATCTTCGTTTCGGATTTCGTAGATTTTTCTAAATTTTCATATTGCTTAACTTTGAATTGATAATACGGATTAAATACATGATTGGAATTTAAAAATTCAAAACGTGAATCGTTCTTCATTCGAACAACCGTTTCAAAATCTCTTCCATTTTTAGCTACGTACGACGCCATTTTATCAATAATAACTTGCATGTCGTTCGGAGGAGTTGATGGTGTTTGAGAATTTATCGAATGCTTATTTAAACTTGTGTTCTTCGAACTGAATGAAAAAAATAAATAAACAACTATTTTGTAATTTTAAACGGTTTTTAACGAATTTTGCAACAATAAAAAATTGTGCCTATTGCTTGATGATAATCACGAATTAAAATTTAAATGCAAACCTATCAATGTAAGATCCATTTTCTTCATTTATTTCATTATCCCTAAGATTTCCAATTACTTCTTTCACTTTATTTACTTCATTTCCTTGTTCATTTAATGTTTTATCTTTTATTTTATTTACCAACATGGAATAAGCACAATGAGCAGATGGTTTGTAGTTTATACTAGGTATCGAAGGGGCCTAAAAATCAAGTAAATTAGTATTCAGTAATAATAATTAATGAATAATATAACATTCAAAAAAAAAACTTACCAATTCCACTTTAGAAACTGAAGAGGCTAAACTAGGATGAAGATAGTGATCATCTTCTTCACTTTCAACATCTTATAATAAAAATATAATAATAAAATTATATTATTTAAAAAATAACATTTTATGTAAAATATATTGGAAAAAAGTATTATTTTTAAAATTTATCACTTAGTTTTTTTCTACACTATAAAATTTTATTCTGCACAATTTACTCACTGGACTTTTTGTTTGTGCTTTCTAAATCTGGTTTGTAACGCCCTCCTTTAATGGCCATTAATAAATGTCTGTAATAACTATGAAGAGGATCATCAAATGATAAAAAATTAAATTGTGGATTTCCTGCTTGTTTCATTTTTAATAATATTTCCATCTGTGGTCCTTGATTGCTAATAAACATGGCTGTTTTTTCAATAATGGCATTATGTTTAACTGTTTCTGGCTAAAAAATATTTTTTAAATATAAGTTTATATCATCAATAATAAAATTCATACTTTCAAAATTATTGAATAACTCTTACCAAAACCATGTTTAATGGTAAATCTAATAAAGGAGAAGAAACAAATGGTTCATCATCTCCAATATCGGCTTTTTCTATGTTTTTTTCAGAATTGTATTCTTCTGTATTGGTTTCTCCTTCATATTTGTATTCCACCTGACCATAAGAATTTCCTTTATCACTAATGGCATAATGTAGTCTTTTAAGTTCTTCTTCTTGATACATTGTTTCTTCTTCTTCATTAGTTATTAATGCTCTATATCGCTCTTCATCACACATAGACTCAACTTGCTTTTCTATGTCTGTCAATCCAAAATACCTATCAAATCCTCCACTTGGAGCTTCTACATGTTTTAAATCAAACAAAGTACCCCTGGCATCATATCTGAAATTATTAATATTTTTTATAATATATATATTTCTTTTAATTAAAAAAAATTATTAACGAGCAATATGCTTTTTTTAATAAAAATTTTTTAAATACAACTAAGATTTTAAAAAAGTTTATAAGGAAAATTTAAAATTTCAAATGAATAACAACACTTTTAGTGTACATAAATTAAGAGCTGTAATTAGTTGCAATAAAAAAAACGTAATAATTAAACTTAAAAATAAAATGTTGTATTGTACATAAAGATATAAAAAATGTTAATAACAATTTTTTTAAAGTAAGTAAATAATTTTTTAGCACCTGTCAATTTTAAGGGACTCATCTCCCATCCAAGGAATTAAATGCTTTCCTTGATCTATATATAAAGCTTTTTCATCATCCCTAAATAGTTTACAAGAATAACCGAATATTAACAAATCATCAGTCTCATTATTTTTGTTTATGGTTACATCGTCTTTTAAACGAGATGCCATTTTTAATTTCAACCACGTTCGTTAAGGAGATTAAAGGGTTTTGTTTCAAAACATTTTGATTGTGCATAAACTTTAATTTGATTCATGATGAGTTTTAAAACATCAATGGCACCTTATCAACACTATCACACTCAATATAAATAGGTTTTTAATAATTTATTTCATCATGATTTTCAGAGTTTTAAATTATTACAATACAATTTTAACGGATTTTCGGATTGAATTTTAATTATGGATTTGATTGAACTTGAAGATTCATGCAATCAAACTTTATTTGATTATTATGAAATATATTTTCAAGAATATAAACAAATAATAGAACATCATTTTAAAAAATACAAGGAAGAGTTTATTGATTATTTTCAACAAAATGCTCAAAATTTAGTTATTGGAATAATAATATACATAGTTTTTAGTTTTTGTTTTTACTGCTTTATAATACGTACGAAATTAGTTCGCAATTTAGGTATTATATCCGATTGTAAAAATGTATTATTTGTAACTTCTCATCCTGATGATGAATGCATGTTTTTCGGGCCTACTATTGTGACATTGACCAACGATACAGATTGCAGTGTCTACCTTTTGTGCTTATCTAGAGGTATGGTAGTAAATTAAAAAAAAAAAATTGTGTACTTTTAGTACAAGTGAAGTTTTCTTATAAATAAATTTAATAAATTTAATACTTTCTAAATTATTTGTATTTTTATTTGACAGGAAATTACTATAAACGAGGTAAAATAAGAAAAAAAGAATTGTTTGAAAGTTGTAAAATATTGCAGATACCAGAACAAAATGTTCAAATAGTTAATTCTTCTCTATTGCGAGATGATCCTAATCTTAATTGGAATCAAGAAGTTATAGCAGACATTATTCTTAACTTTTTAGAAACTTATTCAATAGATACAGTAAGTCGACATTGCATTGGTTACAAAATTATTTTTTATTACCTATTTATTGAAAACTAACTCCTGTCACACACTTGAAATTATTAAATAATATGCAAAAAAATGTTTTTCTTTTTAAATTTTTTAGGTGATTACATTTGATAGGTATGGAGTTAGTAATCATCCAAATCATTCTTCAATTTTTTATGCAATGGCATACCTTTGTTTAGAAAAAAAACTACCAAAAAGTGAGTTGAAAATTTGCTTTGCACAAAGTCCTCTTATTGTAATCATTTCATTAATTTTCTCTTACTATTTTATCACAATAGTAATATAACAAAACTGATATCATTTTGAATATCAAAAATTGTGTTTTTTTTTAAATGTGCTTCATTAGTGTTGTTCTACAAAGAACAATTTTAAATTTTAAATTTTAATTTATTAAAATCATTGTATTATTTTATATTTTCGCAGAGTGCACTGCTTATGCTTTAGAATCTGTATCCAAAATTAGAAAATATTTGGGATTTATGGATGTGACATTTACTTATCTCTTGTCTTCCAAAAAATATGTTGTGCCAATGGAAAAAAGAAACATAATTAGGGATGCAATGCGAGCTCATAAAAGTCAATACTTGTGGTACAGAAGAATTTACATGTATCTCTCAAGATATGTTTTTATGAATTCGTTCAAGGAAATCGATGTACTAGAATTGGAGTTGGATTTTGAAGTAGATTAAAATCGATTAAAAATTTTTAATTTGTCCAATAACAAATAATTTATCCATATTCTTTTAATTATTCAATTTTTTTTTTTTTTTTTTTTTAAAGTTTGTTAGTATTTAAAGTAGGCAGCAAACTTATTTTTAACTTTGGTCCTTATTTTAGTTTACAATTTTTAGATGTGACTGCATATTTAAAGTTTCTACTGCTTAAAAATAAATTTTTACTATAATAATACTTAAATTTTGCTCAACGGTTAATAAAATTTAGATATACAGAAAAAATTATTTATCAACAAATTTAAATTTAACTCTAATAATCAACTTGATAATAATAATAATAATAATAATAATAATTTAGGTAATGCATTAAAACCCATTTTGTTTTTATTTATTTTAAATAAAATTCGTAAATTATAAATTAAGGATTAATTTTGTTTTATTATCGTAATTATTTAATTTAGTAAAAAAGAAGTACTGGACCAATGTGTAAGCCTTGAAATAATTAATATTTTATTATTAACTATTTATTATTGTTAATTTGAAATTGTTGTTATTTAGGTAATTATTTTTATACTTTATAATTTAGTTTATTGTTTACCAAATATTTATAGTTTATTTAAAAAAAAAAAAAAAAAAAAAAGAAGCTAATTTAATAATGTATAATCTTTCACATAAAAGTTATATGTGCAATGTATTTACTATTAATAAAAATATTTGATTACAATAATGTTTGTTTTATATTAAAATTATAATTTTAGTTTGTACTATTTCCGGTGCTTAAATTTTATTGTGACGTCATCAATTTGATTTTGCATTTTATTTGTGGTATTTTTTTTTTTCCTAACGAGCGGGAAGACATTCTTATGAAAAAAAATTTGTTTTTTTTTAAATATATTTTTTTTCCCGTCAAGTATACATCAATTTGCGAATTTATTCAAAGTTTTATTCATCATTAAAGGTAAAAAATTTTTTTAACGGAAATTTCAAGTTTTGGTTTGTAAAAACTATTTGTTGAATTATAATTTTTTTTATTATTATTTAATTTCAAATCGGTAATCATTTATTAAAATTACATAAATATATATTTAAAATATATAAATATTAATTAAATTTTCTTTTAAATCAGTAATTTTTTTGAATAACTCATAACAGTTAAATTTATCATTGAAGTTTTAAAAATTTACAAAATGGCGCCTAAAGCATAAACAGACGATTATGCTATTTAAAATATTGTAACATTTACGAAACGTAAGTGAAAGTTTTTACGTTTAAAAATTATTTAAAATAAAATTTTTTAAGTATAAATTATTGTTATTTATTGTGAAATGAATTTATTTAAAATCATTTGTATTATTTTTTCTAAATTTAAATTAAAAACTAATAGAACAGTGTAATCAAAAAAAAAAAAAAAAAAAAAATACTTTGATCAGCTGTTCTGTAATAATAGCCCATTGGTTAGAAAATGATTTTAATTAGCGCAAACTCATTCTTTCGTAAATACACCCGGTTATAAGTTGGTTTTAAGAGCTTCGTGTGAATGTTGTTTTTTCACTTATTATTTTTTTCAGTAATTTTTTTTATTGAAAAACTAATAACCGTTTATAATGGAAAACAAAAATTTTAAAAATTTGTTTAAAAGACCATGGATGGAATATTCAGGAGCTACTGCTCCTGCTGGTTCGAGTTCTGGAATTAAAGGCATTGTAGCAGGTAAGAATAAATTTATTTAAATAAATGCTCTAAATTATTATTATTATTATTTTTTATAAATTATAATTTCAGTAATTTTTAATTTGTTTCCATTTATTTTTTAAATTTTATAAAATGATGTCAATCAAATTTGTTCATTTGAATTCATTTCATATCAGTCTCTTAAAATTTTTGATAATTTTATTTTTTATTATCACAAGGGAATATTAACAACAAATTTAGCTAGCACAAATTTAAAAAAAAAAATATTATAAAAATCTTAGTATTGATTTATCCTCAACTGTAAAAATTTTATTAAATTAGTGAAAAACATGTAATGATAATTTTACAGTGTGCTTTATAATGGTAAGGTTTTGAAATGTATTATGTAATTAGTAAATTTATTCAACCATGGAATAAACATTTGTGCATTAAAGGAGGAATAAGAATCTTATTTAATCTGTATTACAAAATAAACAGAAATATTTTTATTTTATACTATAGGTGGTATTACTGGAGGAATTGAAATTTGTATTACTTATCCTACCGAATATGTGAAAACTCAACTTCAGTTAGACGAAAAGGGTTCTAAAGCTGGCGGAACAAAACAATACAATGGTATTGTTGATTGTATTAAGAAAACAGTGCAAAATAAAGGATTTTTTGGACTTTACAGAGGCCTTAGTGTACTTCTGTATGGTAGTATACCTAAAAGTGCAGTGAGATTTGGTGCCTTTGAGACATTTAAAAAACAAGCCGTTGACGATAGGGGAAACTTATCACTTCGTAATAGAGCTGTATGTGGATTAGGAGCTGGTGTTTGCGAAGCCATTTTTGCAGTCACTCCAATGGAAACAGTGAAAGTTAAATTTATTAATGATCAAAGGAGCCCCAATCCCAGATACAGAGGTTTTTTCCATGGTGTTGGATTAATAATAAAGGAAGAAGGTTAGTAGTTACACAAATTTTCTTTTACAATCAGAGTAAATTATAAGGCTCGTTTTAAGACAAATAAATACTGTAAATATTTTTCAATACCATATGAAAAAATTGGGTAAAATTGTTTGAAAAAATAAACAACACTCAATTAGCACAAATCTTGTCCAGTTGACCTTGTACTTTGTAATCCACAAGCCAATGTAACTTAAACTTGTAACAGTTTAATTTTTTTTTTTTATAAACTGGTTAAATAAAATGAAAGCTTGTTTAATGTATTTTTAGATTATTTGATTACATAACGATATGAATTAATTTTTATGTAAATTCAATAATCATTTATTTTTATTTATGATTATCATTTTTTTTTTTTTTTTCGTTCAATTATCATCAATTTAATAATTTTTTCCCCTGCAGACATGATATTATTTAGTAAAAACTTTTAAAAGTCTTTGAACCTTATAATTACTGGAAAAAGGCATATTTTCATCAAGACATTAACTGATAATATTTGACCTTGGCTATATTTGTTAAATAAAAAAATTTTAAGCTTTGAACTGGTAACCCCACTGCTCGACATTTTCAATTCTCAAAGTAAAAAAATTATTAATGATAAATTTAAATGATTATTTATAATACAAAATTTAAAATTGTATCCCTACTTTTTTTATATTATTAAAAATTTACAAAAAAAATAACTTTAAAAAATTAATTGATTATTTTCATTTTGCAGCATTATGTGTGTGTTTTTGCATACGAAAGCAATTTTTTTTTTTTTTTTTCGTAGCAATATTTGCATATTGTTAAATATATACGCGACATTAATTTCGATTTTGATCCAAATGAATATTTAACTTTTTTTTTTTTTTTTTTTTTTTTTTAAAGGTTTTAAAGGCGTTTATCAAGGATTAACGGCAACGATTATGAAACAAGGTTCAAATCAAGCCATTAAATTTTTCGTTATGGAAACGTGTAAGGATTTGTATAAAAAAGGTGATCCAACGGCATCCGTTCCAAAACCGTTGGTAGGACTTTTTGGCGCTGTCGCCGGTGCGGCAAGTGTATTCGGTAACACTCCCATTGACGTGGTTAAAACGAGAATGCAAGGTTTAGAAGCATCCAAATATAAAAACACTATGGATTGTTTTAGTCAAATTTGGAAAAACGAAGGTTTTTTCGCGTACGTATATTCGTTAAATATTAATAATAATGATAATGATAATAATTATAATCTCTACTTTTATCATGTTGTTCAATTTTACCGTGAAATTTTCCCTTTTTAACTAATTACGTCAAAGTGTAATATTTTAAGAATTCATTGAACCGTTAAAGTTTTCTTCTGCTAGAATACAGCCCGAAAAACAGAAAAGTGGTTAAAAATGATTTTAAAATTTCCAAAAAAAAGGATTTAAGATTTGATTTTTTTTAAAGAAACAAAGAATAAATTAACCTTTTTATTAAATAAATTATTAATTTTTTCAGGTTTTACAAAGGAACAGTACCTCGATTGAGCAGAGTGTGCCTGGATGTTGCAATAACATTTATGATATATGACTCATTTATGGATTTGTTTAATAAAGTTTGGAAGTAAATAAAAAGCCATGGAAATGATAAATAAATAAGTTCACTGTTGAATTTTAAATGTTCAAACTTGAAAGGGAAATAATAAAAAAAAAAAAAAAAAAATGGGTATTCGAGTAAGAAAAATCAAATTTGTCGAAAACTCAGGATAATTAAATGGTAATTAAGTTAATCGAAATTCTATTATTATTATTTTATAAAAATCGACAAATTTATTAACAATATCACATTGTTTTTATTTCACATCGAAGAAAAGAAAAACATTTTGAAAGATTTTACAGTATGACAATATTACAATTCGAAAAAAGAAAGGATTGAATTATATGTAAAAAAATTTTTTTTTTTATGAAACATGACTTGAAAAAAATCTTTTTTTTTAAACTGTACATTGTATTGAATTATTTTTCAATGACTGATACAAATATTAAAAGTGCCATATTGTTTAACTTTTCCAAATATTCCATTCGTAAATTAAAATTTGTAATTTTTCTTAAGGTCAAACAAATATTTTTTCTACTTAATATTTATTATTATCGTATCGTACTTTTATCTAATTTAACTTTTTAAAATAAATTTTTTTATGCATTTATTATCATTATTGTACATTTAAAAAAAAATGTAAGGTTTTACCATTTCCGGTTGTTGTTGTTTTTTTTTTAATTGTACATTATAGAAATGTAAATTTTCATTCCAATCTAAAACAATATGAATTTGTTTGAAAAAAAAAAAAAATTTCATTTGTCCATTCCTTTGTATTATTTTGCATTTTAGTGTCTTGTCGTTTTCCTCGAAGTAAAAATTTGATTTTTCATTTTAAATTAAATATTTTGCCATGAATCAAGTGTGCTTTATTATGTATTTTAATTGATCATATTATTTATTACTTGCAAAAAATTATAAATAAATTTAATAATATTTATTTAAAATAAAATGATTGGAAATTTATTATTTATTTAATTAAAAAAGGTGTGAATAATTTAATTAAAATTTGTTTTTTTTATTTGTTTATAAAAAAAAAAAATCATTCGACCGGATTAAATAAGAAACAAATAATTATTAAAAAAATAAATAAAAATTTTAAATGAATAAATTAAAATTATTTTATTAATATTTATTTTGTTATTTTAAAGCTCAATTTACATAATAAATAATTTTTTTGTAATGCAAAACATTTAATAACTAATTATATTTATATTTTATAATATTTTTTTATTATTATAATTTTAATTTTAATACAATTAATTAATTAATGGTGGATGATATTAATTATTTATTGTAATTAAAAAAAAAAAAGAGTAAAAATTTAAATGTTTAAGGGTTGTTGTTTTATTAAATAAAACAACCTTTATTATCATTATGTGTTTATTAAATTTAATAAATTATTAATCTACAATAAATAAATGTAAATTTATTTAAACTTATTTAAAAAAATGCTTAGAATTTAATAAATTATTGAGCGATATGACGATTATTTGTGTGGATTTTCAATGGCTGAAACTAATTTTTTTTTTCTTATTTTTTTTTTTTTATTTATTTCCGTCCATAATCGCTCATTATTTAATAAATTGTTGTTATTTGTTGAAATTTTTTTTTTTTTTTTTTAAGTTACTTAACATTTTATTTTAAACTTACATAATAATGTATATTTTTTTTTTTTTGTAATAGTGTGGAAATTTATACATAAATAATATGTTTTTTAATTTATTATTTTTGTAAAGTAAAAAAATTATTATTATTATTATTTATAATTTGGGAAAAATATATATTTATATTGGGTAATGTTTTTTGTAATTGTTTAATCATAAAATTTTTAAGAAATCACATTTCTCTCCATTTTCAATAAATTTTACTTGAAAAATTTTCAATAATTTATTTTTTTTTACAGCTGCTATGAAGTATTGTAAGTATTATACATAATTAATATGTAAAATAATCAATAATTTATTTATTTAAAAATAATAAAACTCTTTGTTTTACATATTAATACTTTCCAAAAGTTTTGAAATGTAATTTAATTAAAATTGCATTTAGAAAAAAGGTAAATGATTGTTAAAAAAAAAAAAGGTGAGTTTTAATTTTATATATAAATTATAATAATAATAATATTTAACATAAAAGTTGATTATAATAACAAATTTATAACTTAATTTAAAACTAAATAAAAATGGATGACAAAATTTTAACCAACAACAAAATGAAATTTTTTGGTTTTTTAGGTTTTTTTGGGGGTTGTGGTAAAGGAAAATAATAATTTTAAATGTTTTTTAAAAAGTCAAAAAAGAAAAAAACAAATGTTTTGTTTCCTTATTATAAAAGGTTTTAATCAAAAAAAGAAATGTGAAATAACATAATACAACATAATTATAAAAATGGCGGCGATTACAAAACTTTTTTTTCCCTTTTTTTTAAAATTAATTTTTCAAAATTTTATTAATATTTTATTTTATTTAAAAATGGGAAAGAAAAATTAAATACATGTTTCAATAAAAAATATTATAATTTTGATTTTTTTTTTATTTTAAATAATAATAATTAATGTTACTAATGAACTCGAATTAAAAATTTAAAAAAAAAAAAAAAAAAAAAAAGTTTTTAAAAAAAAAAAATAATAGATGATGATGTCATGAGTCTGCGCCTTCAAAATTTGTTTAATTTTCGTTCTCGTCTTTTCAGTTGGAAATCCACCGTACGCGTGATATTTCAAACTTTTAACGATTATAATAAGTGATTTATTTAATTTAAAAGTTATTTTTAGTTTTTAATAATATTGTTAAAGTGTAAAACAAACATTTTTACATTATTTACCTGAGGGTTATTTTATTTTTATTAATATATAAAAACATTTTAAGGTAAGATTCGGTTATAAATTTTAACATTAACTTTTTCTATATATAAAGTAACTCATTTGATTATTATTATTCTTTTTTTAATTTGAAACAACAAAACTTTTGCTTTTATTTTAATTGTTATTGTATTATTTGATTTATGTTAATTTCTAAATGTTTATAATTCTATTCATTTTATGTATACATATGTATAAATATTAATAATGTAAATGATAAATCACTCATTACATACAACTTACCTATATTAATGTAATGGATCATGGTTAAATGACAAAGTGCCTTTGAGTTATTAATTTTACATGAAAATATTATTATTATTGACAAAATGAAGTTAATATTACTTACAGTATATATTTTAACATTGAATAAGTTTCATACAACAATATTCTTTCAAATAGTATCATTATTTCTTGTAATTTTTATAAATTCCAAACAAAATGGCCCATGACAAACAAAAATGTCTTTTTTGTTCTTCTTTACCCTGTCAGTTTTTTACACTGGATTCATTTCATTTAGTTTTCTTGTCAAATTTAAGTCCTTAAAATCAAATTCATATAAAATTAAAAAGAAGAAAAGTCACTAAAGAAACATTTCATATATATTTCTCAAAAAAGTTGGGAGGGGAAATGTTTTTCTGTGTATTTACTCTTGTGATTATTCTCTACACACCTTTCTCTACAACCTTTCTCTACAAACCTATTCTCTACAAACCTATTCTCTACAGCCTTTTCATTATTTTTTTTTTTTTTTTGGGGGGGAGGGGAGTTTCATTTCAAGTATTTTACCTGATTTCATCACTTATAACAAAAAAATTTAGTTATTATTATTGATTTTCAACAATTGATTACATGAATCCTTTATGTATTTCATTACATGTT